GACGCCTCATCGGTGGGAGGTTCAACCCCGCTCGCCAAGTTGCGCGTGGTCTGCATCTCCCACCTCGGCTTCGCCCACTTGCGCTTCTTGTCCTTCTCAGCCGCGCCGTCCGTCTTCTTGCCCGTGGGGAGCGGCGTCTTCTTCTTAGCCACGCTGCCCGTGGCAGGCGGCGTCGTCTTCTTTGCCGCGTTGTCCTTGCCAGGCGGCGTCGTCTTCTTAGCAGCATTGCCCGTGGCAGGCGCGGGGGCCTTCACCGCCTCGGCGTTCTTTTTCGTCTTGACCGCCTTCGTCCTCTTATCCATGGCCGCGACCATGGCCAGAGCCGCCTCCGTCGGGGTCTTCTTCAGAGAGCCTGCGGCGATGCCGACCTTCTCAGCCTTGGGCGGCGGCGTCACGGCGACGATGCCGAAGTCGGAGTCGGAGTCGAGCTCGATCGGCAGCTCATGCTTCTTCTGCTTCTTCGGCGCGCGGCTCTTGCTGATCGAGGCCGTCTGGGCGGCGGCGGTGCTCAATAACGGCTGACAGTCGGCGGGTTTGCCGCCATCTTGTGCCGCCAGCTGCTGCGTCGACGGCGCATCCGAACTCCCCGCCGCCATCGAAAGCTGGTGGTTCGAACCTGCTCGTTCTTGCAACGGCTCCTGCGGCTGCTGCGTCTGCGAGCGGTCGATCAGCTGGATGGCTGGGTTGGGCCAGCGGCCGCCGCTGCGCGAAAGCCCCACCTGAAATCAGGCGGGTCACCGCCGAACGAAAATATCCCCCCCCCCATCCCCCTCCAATCCGGCCCAGGCATCCAGAATTCCACACCGCGCCCTCGATCCAGGCATCCAGAAACGCACCCCACGCCGATCCAGGAACCCACCCCTCGACCCAATACCAGGTGTCCCGCGGGGGAATGCGTTCTGTTATTCCCCGTGGAGCCGTCGGCCAGCGCCCAGAGAACGAGTCGGCCGCCGCGATGGGGAGGCGCTGCTGAGGAGAGCCGCCGCCTGGGCCGTGGGATGGCTGCAGCCCGCCGCGGGCGGGCGCAGGCGCGGGCAGCGCGAGGTGGCCGCTCTTCTTCCCTGCACGGAGATTAATCAGCTTCGCACTCGTCACCATCTCGACGGGATTTATCTGCGGCGCCGTCGCTCCAACACCTGGCGGGAAGGCGTCGACGTACGTGATGGGGTACTGAGACTGGAGCCTCCCAGGCGTGATTGGGGAGAGCCTGGATGCCATCCCTGGGCGGCGGCATCGTCGCCACGAGATTCTTGAACGAGGATTTCACTGTGACCAGATATGACTGCAACAGCTCCCTCGTGATCTCGCCCATCCCCACGCCTGTCTGCTTGCACGCCAGCAACAAGAATGCTGCCATATTGGCGGCCGTCGGGCAGCTCGGATGCCTCAGGCCAAGCGCCCCGAGGTGCTCTGAGAACGCCGCCATCTTGGCAGTGAAGCCCGAATGCGGCGAGAGCACGAACTCCCACAACTGAGGCGTCAGAAATTCAATGAGCCCCCGTAGTTCTGGAGCTGCCCCCCCTGCAGGCTGCCCGACGACAGAGCCTGCAAGAAGTCTCCCAGCTCGGACTGCGCCCACCCCGCGCCGCCGCCCAAAGCAGCAAACTGCGCACTCTGGAGCTGCGCCCAGCGCTGGGACGTCGCCGCCTGGATGCAGGCAGGAAGGTGCTCCGTCGCACTGCCGCGCGCTACGAACGCCGCCCGCGCCTCCTCCAGACGGCCTCGAAGGATGCCCTCCATGGCAGCGATGCGGCGCGACCGCGCGCCGAGCGGAGTGCGCGACTCCCCGCGCGCGCACGCCGCCCGAAGCCCTCGGAGGAGGGCTCGCCAAAAACGGCTCGAGCCAATGCGCGTGCGACGGACATATCCTACTCCTGATCTTCCTGCTCCTCCTCCTCCTCCTCCCCCTCCTCCTCCTCCTCCTCCTCCTCCTCCTCCTCCTCCCCCTCCTCCTCCTCCTCCTCCTCCTCCTCCTCCTCCTCTTCCTCCTCTCCCTCCTCTTCCTCCTCCTCCTGGGTGAGGGGGGGCGCAGGGGGGAGAGGGTGTCGAAGGGGGGATGGGGGAGGGGGTGCCGAAGGGTGCGCGGGGGGGAAGAAGAGAGCTATGGGGGAGGGTGAAGTGAAGGAGAGGCCAGGGAGGGGAGGGAGGAGGGGGGTGGGCGGCTTGCCGCCGAGGGGGTGGAGGGAGGCGGCAAAGCAAGCCGCCGATAGGGCGGGGGGGGGAAGGTGGTTTGCCGCCATTAGGAGGAGAAGGCGGTTTGCCGCCAGAGGAGGAGAAGGCGGTTTGCCGCCAGAAGGGGTAGGCGGTTTGCCGCCAGAGGAGGAGAAGGCGGTTTGCCGCCAGAAGGGGTAGGCGGTTTGCCGCCAGAGGAGGAGAAGGCGGTTTGCCGCCAGAAGGGCGGTTTGTTTCACGGAGGGGGAGAAGGCGGATTGCCGCCATGGGGGGGGGAGAAGGCGGTTTACCGCCGACGGAGGACGAGGCGACGGAGGAGAAGGCGGTACGCCGCCGAAGGAAAGGGAGGATAAGGGAGGGCCGAAAACACATGGATAAACATTTTCCTCCTTCCCTCCCCCCTCCCCGCGGGCATGCGCGCAAGCCGCAGCGCCGCGGCCGCGAGGTACAGCAAGTACCTGCGGCGCCTCGGTCCTGAACAACTGAACAGCAACAACGGACATTCAAGGGATTTCAAAAACAGGTAAAAATAAAACATACGCAAATGATTAACAACAAACACGAATATGTTCAGCCCCATCGACTTAGCAAAGATATCGAACTTAGTATATTACTTACATCTACACTTGCAAACACCATAAGTATTGTATATGCACACATGAGATGCGCGATCAACAAGTGTACGTTCTATGGCTTAACTAAGATTATGTAAGATGAACGCTCTTACCGCACTTACAGCCACCCGACGATCAAAGTACGCACCGCGCACTGGCACCAGCACCGGCACCGGCCACCAGCACCTGCCACGTCGGTGCATCCGCCACCAGCCACCGGCACCGGCACCAGCACCGGCCCCAGCCAGGCCACTGGCCACCGGCACCGGCCACCGGCACCGGCCAGGTGCACCGGCACCCGCACCGGCACCAGCACCAGCACCAGCACCGGCTACCGGCCACCGGCACCGGCCACCTGCACCGGCACCAGCACGGGCACCGGCACCGGCACCGGCACCGGCCACCGGCCACCGGCACCGGCACCGGCACCACCACCGGCACCGGCACCGGCTACCGGCACCGGCACCGGCCACCGGCACCGGCACCGGCACTGGCACCGGCGCCGGCACCGGCACCGGCACCGGCGCCGGCACTGGCACCAGCACCGGCCACCGGCCACCGCGGTCACCGGCACCGGCACCGGGACCGGCACCGCGGCTACCGGCTACGGGCACCAGCCGCCGGCACCGGCACCGGCACCGGGGCAAGAATCGTTCATGGCTTGTGGCTGTTCTTCTGGCCCAGCTCGTGGACGCACGCGCTCGGGGGGCCAAGAGGGGGCGGCGTGCCCTGTTCAGCGTTCCTTATCACAGCAGCCCGGCTGTGAGGGGATGAGGGGGCGCGGGCCTTATCTGCAGATGTGAAACCCCAGACCCCCGACGTCATGATTTTTTCATGACGTCGACCCCCAGAGGTCTGGACCCATTCCCCAGGACCGGTTTGTCATCCTGAGTCGTTTTTTGACGGTCCCGAGGCCCGGTAAGGGCCCCCAGAGGCCGAAAATGACGAAAAACCTCCCGTCGTGATTTTTTCATGACTCGCGAGGTCTGGGGTGAGGGGATGAGGGGGCGCGGGCCTTATCTGCAGATGTGAAACCAGCGCCTTGTAAAAAAAGCAGCCTCCTTCTAGGAAGCCTTCCCCCTACCCCTAATTACCCCCCTGCGCGGGCCGCCAATGTTCGTGCACCGGGACTGGCTTTGCATCTTCGCGAGGGCCTTTCTTGTCCTATACATGGCAGTCATGTCCTGTGTTCCGACGTGGGTCCGACGCGGATCCGACGTGAATTCGCGCGGTCTGGGCTCGGATTCGACACAGATTCGACACGGGCTCGACGCGTTGGACACGGATCCGACATCGATGCAACACAGATGGCTGGCTCGATGGGACAGGTGAGGTCCCGCAAGGATGCAACACAACGATCATCACGGGACGTCCCAGATCCCGTCGAGACAGGACAGAAAATCACGACGGCAGGTTCTCCGACGTTTTTTCGGCCCCCTGGGGTCTACGCTTGGCCTCGGGACGGTCAACACACGACCCGGGGTGAAGAACCGGCCCCAGGGAATGCGTCGAGACCTGTGGGGGTCGACGTTCTGACAAAAATCATGACGTGGGGGCTCTGAGATGCGCGCGCCCAAGAGCATTGCAGCCGTGGGTCGAAATCTCCTCCGTCCTTGTTCTCTCCAGCCGGATATCTCAACCCTGAGATCCGACGGTGCGCAAGAAACGCAACACCGCGGAAGATCACGGCCAGAGCCTTTGACCCCTTCTTTTTGCGGCATTTTTGTTTGAGCCAGACTGACCTTTGATGTCCTGGGACCCTGGAAAACTTGGGGAAATTGCTCGTTGCGTGAAGCCAAAACTGCAGCGCCCAGATCTCACCCCAGACATGCGACGTCAGGTTTTTTTCAGGACGGCGTCCCCGTAAGTTCAGACCCTTTCCCCGGGGCCGGTTTTTCATCCCGAGTCGTTTTTTGACGGCCCCGGCGGCAGGTGAGGGACCCCAGCCGAAAATAGCGAAAAGCCGCCCGTCCCAATTTTTTTACGACGCGATCCTGTCTGGGACGGAGAGTCCTGGCCAGCAGTCTCTCGGCTTAGGGTTAAGTCGGGCATGTCCTCTACAGGGGGAATATTCAAAAGTAGTTGAAAAATAGTCAGGTGACGATTTTTTTACTATTTCTGATAGTTTTTTCCCAAAAACAAAAATCGCTCAACATATACCCCTGTAGGGAGACTGGCCCGACCTAAGCTTAGGGGGCCCTGGCCCTCGCCAAGCTGGGGGGCGGTGGCGCGGCCGCAGCCCTGCCGTTCCTGGAGGACACGGCGACGACGGCGGGGCGGCACGACGCAGGCGGTGGCGACGGCGGTGCCCCGGGCGGCGACCTCCACGCTGGCGCCGACGTCTGCGGCAAGGGTGGCGACGCCGCGCTGGGGTCCTTGGCGGCGGCCTGTCTGTCTGTACCAGCCGGAGATATCCAGCGCATTGAAAGAATCAAGGCGGAGGTTTTTCGCCGCTTTCGGCCTCTGAGGGCCCTCGCCGGGCTTTGGGACCGTCAAAAAACGACTCAGGATGAAAAACAGGTCCTGGGGAATGGGTCGAGACTTCCGGGGACCCCGTACTGAAACAATCACGACATCGGATCTCGGGGCACGATCGGCGCTCACCGCGGAGGGTGAAACAGGCCGTCGCCGTGGCAGAGCGAGCCATCGAGCCTGGCTGGCCGGCCTGCCTGGCGGGCAGCTCACGTGGAACGTGGCGACGGGCCTCGGCCCGTGAGGGCGAGGAGCCCCCGCTGCCCGCAGCCCACCTGCACGGCGGCCGGGGGCGCCCTCAGAACTCGTCCTCGAAGGCCTTGGCGGAGGAGCCTCCCCTTCCTCGGTGTCAGGACGCCAAGTCTCGGGTTGGGGGGATGGGGCTGGGAGAGATGACGAGATCATCCGTACAGTGGAGGCCCATGCCAAGAAGCACCCTGCTCGCCTCCAGGGTGCCCTGGGTTTCTTGGGCTTCGATGGTTTCGCTATGGAAAGCGCGACGCTCCCACACCAAAAGTCCATGGACGTCCTGGGGACTCAGGGTTGGGTTTCTTTTGGAAGGTTTCTTGTGGACTGGCCTCCACTGTATTATCGCGTATGTTGAGCGTGCTTATTACACAGTCGTGCCCCGCATCTTCCCGAACCCATCCTCCAGACCCGATGCTCGTCTTTCTGGCAGTGCCCTCGACCTCTGGCGCCGCCTCCTCCCGCCGCACCTCGGCTCCCCGAGGTGTCCCCGGTCCGCGCCGGCGCCATCTGCGCCCACGCACGGGCGCCCGCCGAGGCGGTCGCGGAGGCCCTTTGGTACCACCAGACGACTTTGTTTCCGCTTAAAAGGGAGGGGGGGTGCGGGGAGGCCGCCGAACCTGTCTTCGATGATCCCCAGGACGTGTCTTAGCCCAATGTGTGTTTGAGATACCCCGTTCAGCCCAACCAGTCGATCGTCACGTCGCCTTTGCCGTATTGAAGGGCCTCAGTGGGCAAGCGCACGTTGGCGCTAGCACGCGTTCTGAAGATCGTCGGCTTCCTGCACCCCAGACCCCCGACGGTAGATTTTGCCAGAACGTCGACTCCCAGAGGTCTCGACCCCTGCCCCCGGACAGGTTTTGCAACATGGAGTCGTCCTTTGAGAGGCCCGAGGCCTGGTGAGGACCCCCGGGGGCTGTGATTGCGAAGGCCTTACGGCCGATGCCGCCGACCCTGTAGGCAGCGACGACGAAGACAATGGAGGTAGAGGAGTCCAAGATGCCCCCAGATGGCTCGAAGACGGCGCCAGATACCTGCAAGGTCGTCCTTTGACAGTCCCGAGGCCTGGTGAGGACCCCCGGGGGCTGTGATTTTTTTATCTTTCGAGGGGGCCGACGGTCAGGGCGTCCTCCTCCTCCTCAGCCATTTCGGCTCGAGTTGATCCCAGGTGAAACGCAGTTCGAGTTTGCACCAGCGCTCTTCGAAGTGGCAGCGCTTGTGCGAGTCAAATCTGGTGAATTTGACAGTCAGGCACCGCGACGTCCAGCGATGTCTGGTGATGGTTCTGTGCTTCGGGGCCGTCGTCTGCCTCTGTGGTCTTGTACTCGGTGCACTCGCATTGCGAACTGGGCCTGTCGTATCAAGTGTGCTTGTGGTGCTCCTGCCCATCATCGTGTTGTGCAGGCCGCCCGCAAGAATGAGAAGGAATGGTCTGCGCAGCCTTCGACGGCGTCTCCCAAGGGTCCCTCTGGCTCTGGTAGATGGGCTCAGGAGCCGCCCTCGCAAGTCGGTTTGGTGGCGCAGATCACTACCGCATTCGAGAAACAGTTCGGCCAGAAGACCAAGCAAGTGCTGAAGGGCAACGGGTGTACCTCAGCTGCTCCTCCTGCTGGCGCTGCTAGTGGTGACGGGCAAACTGTACCTTCCGATGACGATCTCAAGGTTGCCCGCATCGAGTCTCGCGATAATGCAGCCCGCCAGCTCCACAATGTCGATGATTCCGACCCCGCCAAAAAGTATATTGCGGAGCAGTTGCGAGATGTGTAAATAGATGTTGGAGATAAGAAACCAGGGGATCAGCAGCAAGCGAACATCGCGTTTCGTCTCTGGGCTGCACAGCAGAAGCAGACCAAAGCTCAAGAAATTGTTCGATCGCAAAAAAGTCACTGCTGCTGCCCAGGCGGCTCTTGTTCAGCTCCAGGAAAAAAGGAAGTTGCCCGACAGCGTGAAACTGCAGCCCTTGGCGAAGAGCTGCGGCGCACCATGCCCGACACGGGTCTTGCTGTCGTTGTCGACTTCCCCATCGATTCGCAAGTGCTTGAGTCGCATCCTGAGGTCAAGGCATACCTGGACAATCCTCTGTTCGAGCAGCTCAAGAAACCGTGCAAGCAGTCTGCCAAGCCTGTGCCTGCCAAGGCGCCCACGGAGTTTCCGCGCACATGGGGGGCGATGTCGCAACGGGCGCCATGGAGCGACTGTCCTCGGAGGACATGGACGAGCTCTTCACTGCCACGGGCGACGAGCGCGCAGTAGAGCAGAACCTGCAGGAGATGGGTGTCGAGCGCGCATGCGTCGCTTCACTCTCGGCGGAGTCTACCCCGCTGCGAGGCCAGCAGCCGGGGTAGCAAGGTGCACTTGCGCGGCCTCCCTGTGTCTTCTCATGGCTTGATAGCGCCGCAGTGCAAGGGCAATGCGACGAGTTCTACTAGACGAAGCCCTGGCAGTATTGATGGTCAACCTCAGTGCACTGAGTATTTCTAGTGTAGTTGTCGTTCAACTTTATTGGATCGATTGTGGGTGGGTGATGCTCTGATTGTGTGTTCAGGAGATTGGAGTGTGGCCCTGCGGCTGTCGCGGACCTTCAACGAGCGGCTCGAACGATTGGGTGCATAATGTGGTGCAGCCCATCCGATGTTCGAGAGCGAGGTTCGCGCTCTGCTGGCGTAGCTGTTCCTGTTCGTCACCACATGGAGCACTGATGGAACCCTGCGGCCCTGCGGGCGGCGAGCTTGGAAAATGGCATCGCAGTGATGGTGGGCATGCCTGAGTGGCCGCCTTTGGTTTTCTCTACGTGCCATTTCACCTCTGCGGGCTTCGATGCGGCATGCTCCAACAGCCTAGTGCCTCGATGGAGAAGTCTTCCGGTTCATCATTGGCAGACGCGGGTTGGAATGTTGAGCTGGCCAGGAGAGCAGTTTCACGCGCTCGCTTTCTGTGGCACCTGGGCGGCGCGCGCGCGCGCCTCCCAGCAGTGCCTCTCCGATTGACTTTTTCTCGCGCTCCCATGCTGTGGCCGGTTCGGTAGATCAGGTCCGAGTCGATGCGGAGTGGCGCCGGGGACTTCACGAGCTTGTTGTCTTCATCTTCGGCCTGGCGCTATGCGGCTGAAACAGTTGGTGCGTTGTGCTCATGAAGCGTTGCCAGTGACTCCTCCTCTCTTTGGGCCATGTCCGACGCCCGCGCCTTTTTCATGCTGCTCTCGTTTTGACGAGCGAAGCGACGTGCGCGGCCTCTCGCGGCAGGAGCTCGGCTGCACGGGCAAGGTTCAACAGTGCCTGGGCAGTGTTTTTTTCGAAGATGCAGAGCACGAGTTGGCAGGCATGCTCGATCATCTGATTTTCAAGCCCACTCGCCATCAGTCGCTTGCCCGACGATGGGCGCCTGTCCCCGGGGGGGGGAAAGCCGCCGAGGACGACCTGCGCGCGTGTCGGGGATGGCGCCAGCCTCGTCGAGTCTGGCACGAGTTTGGGGCGATGGCTACGCGCGTTTCTGACGTCAGCGAGCGCCCGACCGCGTCGCGCCTCAAGCAGACGCGTGTGTCCGAAGCTTATCCTGCTGAAGGGCTTGGCGTGCGGTTTTTGGGTCGCGCTCGATCTTTCGGGCGCCTGCGACGTGACTGCTCGGCTCAGGCTGACTTTGCAGCCCGCGCTGTGTCTCCGCGGCGGCTGCGAGCTGCGCTTTTTCGTCGCCAGCTTATGATCGAGTTCGACGCGGCCGCCACGCGGGCCAGCAAACCGCGCGCGATCTCGCGGAACGAACGGCGCGGCGTCTTTCTGAAAGGACCTGCGAAGCCGATGCGCGAGATGACGAGACTTCAACGCAGCTGGTGTCACGCGGTGGTCGACGAGGCGCCCTGTTTTTTTCTCTTGCAGTCCTGATGCAGTTCTCGCGCAGATGTCGAGTCGTTCAAGGCTCAGCGGCGGGCGCCCGCGGCGCCCCCCGGCGCCGAAGCGAGAGTGCTTCCCAGGAGCCGCCGCCGACGATATTCGCAGTGCTCCGCGAAGTTTGTCTGGTTTCACGGCGCCCGGGCTGGGCGGGCTTCATCTAGTGCATGTTTCTCTCCTTGGAGACGCGGGCGCGTTTGCCGTGAGTGCGTTATGCGAAGCGGTGGAAGTGCTCGGCGCATTCCCGAAGCACTGCGCGTGCTCTGTGTTGCCACTCATCGACGAGCCTGTTGGTGGACACCGTGCTATCTTGTTGCTGGCTAGCTTTGTGCGAGTGTGGGAACGACTGCGACGCCCGCAGTTCGGCCCCCTTTTTTCTAGTGCTACCGAGCGCGCAGACAGGTCTTTCGGCGTTGGCCAGAAGGCCGAATCGTGTGCCTGGGCCCAGACAGCAGCATCAGAGGTCGCATCGGCTCGGGATCAAGTTTTCATGGGGTCCAGTCAGATGGTAAGAAGCACGATGAATTGTTTGATCTGCTACTCTTGAAATCCCGATCTTGCCAATGGGGCATATCTGGGGTCATTGTCACAAACCAGGTTCGACGTCTTGCGTGCTCCTCGTCTGGCCAGGTTGGGCACGGCCATCCATCCCGC